ACTGCAAGCTCAACAAAAATTCTACAAGAGATCAGAGGAGTGAAATGGCCCTCATGCTAAGGTTTTGTTGCCAGAAGATTTCTCAGTTAAGGAAAAAAAACCCAAAAACCCACGAACAACTCACTCAGAAAGTAGTTTTGTCATTTTTACAGTATTAGGACTACTATAAAATATATTACCATAGTAATGAAAAATATCTACATCTGAATTATCATGTATAGTCTATGTAAGTTGGTTAAGTCAGGTAAAAATACTGGCTTATTATATACTGCTTTACAAAAGAAATACAAAATGCATCAGAAAAATGAAAGGTGGGCTGGGGAGTGGAGGGAACACAGGACAGGAAAGTCAAGGCTGGCAGAGGGACCAAGGGGGAATCATTCCATATCCCATACTCACTGTGGATGGTAAATGCTTCCTAGGTCTCAAACTTACACCACAATTATGACATGCTGCAGAAGAGATAGAGGCCATGGTCAAGGGCTGTGGGAAACAGCAAAAGTAAGAAGACTTTCAGAAGCTGTGAAAGTAGGCCTCAGAAAAGAACAAACAGAGAACTTAGAGCTAGTTGAATCTTCAAAGCCTTAAAGTAAAGAAGATACAATAATGCAACATGAAAGGACGTGAAACAATAGTTGAGTTTTTAGGCTTGGCTAAGATAGACCATAAGGGTGAAGAAAAAGATGCTTACCAGGATAGTGGGAGGTTTTAAACTTAATAATGGAGTACTGTGTATTGTTAATAGAAAGCATAATAGCAAGCATTGTTTGAAGCAGGTGTATGTGTGCTCTTAGTGATTGGGTAGAACAACTGTCTTGAAGCTTTAGCAATATGCTATTGGCTGAAAAACTTCTGAAATGTTCTGTAACATAGAGGTCTTGGGCTGCTCGTGGCAGGAGTGAGCTGGTTCCACCTCCTGTGTGTGTGGCTGAGTCTGGTGCCTGAATAAAGCTCTGACACATCACCCAGCATTCCCGTCTTGTTTGTGAGAAAACCGCCAACAAAGGGCTACATAAGAAATCTACCGGGTAAAATTCTCAGATGATTCTAGGAAACTGAGGGTACCCCAATGGACATGTAGACAGTCCTTATTCATAGAGTCATGGAATGGTTTGAGTTGGAAGGGATATTAAAGTCCATCTATTTCAATCCCCCTCTACTATGGGTGTTGATAATTGATCTAAGTAGTCTGACTGTAGGGAAAATTACTACATAAACTGATTTCTGCCTGTTTCCTAAGCTAATTAATGCCACTGTTTGTCTAAAAGGATTTTTTTGTGTTTGGTGAGCCAGTTTATACAGCTCAGTGTTTTCTGCCTAGCTGTGGCACGCTCCGGTGCTGCAGTGGGAAGTGAAATAAAAACAGCAGAAACTAGTTGTGGAACGTTTTTTTTTTCCTGGTAATTGGTAGAAGGTTCAAGCATAATTGCTTGTAAAAATGATGCAAACAAAAGATGATTGAATCTCCTCAGAGGCACTTAAGTTATCAGCACATCAGGTACCAAGGACTCAAATTATAAATGTAATTTCTCATTGCTGGGATTTTGTAAACAGTCCCCTTCATAAATTTAGAAAACTCACATCTTCAAATGGCATTGATCCCTTCTGATGACTCTTCTCAGTAATTTCATCACTCTCCATATGATTAGAAGTTTCCTGTATTCATTTACCTCCTGAATAGTCTAGTTATTGTTTTTTGGTTTACACTTTGTTGCTGTTTTCATTTGGTTTACACTTTGTTGCTGTTTTCATATTTACCCCTACAGTATGTTATTAAGGAATTTGCATATAACATGTCAGCCTTAAGATAAATTTGCCAATCAGCTCATGTAATTTTATGTTAGATCTTTTCTATCATGGCTGTTCCCATAACCAGGCATTATACATTTTCTTTACTTGTTGTAGCGTAAATTTACTTTTGTAACCATAACTATCCCAAGCAAGTGTTCCCAAATACACCAACAACACCAACATCTTATTTCACACAGTGTTACTGTATGAACTGCTTTTGTTGTTATAAATATTTTGCTTTATGAAAACATCCTAAACCTACATTAATTTTCTCTGCGGTGTAGTACTGTAGTAGATGATGGGCAGTTCTTTAAAGCCTCCAGTTGATGAGCCCAGTCACAGATTTAGATCTTGAAGTATTTATGTTCAAAGTACATTTACATTTATTAATCTTTGAGTGGATAAATTTGTACTTTGGGCTGTTCAGTACTACTCACTCCTTCATTCTTTTGGTTGTGTTGTAAGCCAGAAGGGAAAAGTTTTGTGATCTTGTTCCCTTTCTACTCATGTTTCACAGAAGAGACTTCTCCCATACCTCTGGGTAGAAGACATAGAAGCTAAAGATTGGAATGAGAAAGACATTGGAATGGGGCATGTTATATTGTTAAATGTTTATTTATTGAAAAGTACAAATCTGGGTTAACTTAATCTACTTATGTATCCAAATATATTCACCCAGAAAAAAACCCAAAACTGAAATGTTTAATTGAAAAAAAAAATAAAAATCCTTAAATCTTTGTTTTTAAATAAAATTGTTTTTGTTTTGTAAAGAACACTGCTTTTCTAACTCAGAAACATAATGGCATGATTTGAGAATTTTAACTGCAAATGTTTGCTTAACAATGCTCTCATTTTCACAAGAAAACCACGCATTTTTTCCTTTTTGGTAACCTGAAACCAAACTCAGGCAGGAAGTGAAAAACAATGGTATTTGTACAGCTTTAGTTGATATTAAACTGCTCCTATTTCTTGTGGTGATAGCTTTGCAGAGGCTTCAGAGCAATGTCAGCCATTATGTCATATGTTTCTTTTTGAAACTCATTCTTTGCTAAGTAGAAATAAATTTCATTCTTTCTAAAAAATTTCCCAAATGGTAATTTTCCAGGGAAACCCAAACATTTGTCAGAAACTGTGGAACCCCTGAATATAAAATGTCTCCTTCAACTCCTCTTCATTTTTAATCAACTCCAGCCAGAGAGAAAGGGTTGCTTTCTGCAGGAGCAGCCCTTATGTTGCTGCAGTTGCTGAAGATTCTAGGACATTATACTTAATCAGAAAGTCTTGCTCAGAACTGAGATGGAAGCTGTGACCAGCTGCAAGCTTTCTCTCTTTATTATTTATTTATTTATTTCCTTGCTGTTAAGATGCAGAATGGCGAATATTCCCATATTTATAAATTCAAAACCTAAGTGTCTTGATAGTAATAAAGTATAAAAAGTTTGTGGTAAGCATGTTTGTCTGGAGCAAAGCAAAACTTGCTTCGGTTCTTGCCTGCAACTCTGCTTTCCAGTGTGACTTTGGTCAGCTCAGTAAATCATTCTGAGCTTAGTTCCAGTCAGCTGTAATGCCAAGAGAATAGTGTTTCTTTTTTTTCCCACCTCTTCTGTAATTTATTACAAACTCTTTGAGACAGCAACTGATTTTTCTTGTATGCTGCTTTCTGTGGACACTTAGCCTAACTTTCTGGAAACAATTAATTTTTCAGTTCATGATCATTCTAAGTACTATAAAAAATTGTATGTGGCTGAAATGAACAACTTTGCCCTGTTTACTACATTAATCAGGAGAAAATTTTCTGACTAGAGGGATATTTTCAGATTTTTGTTTGTTTGTTTTTGTTGTTTTTTGCTTTTTTTTCTTTCTGGCGTGAATGTCTGAAACATTAGCATTATAGTTCTTCTATATGAACATTTTTCAAGGTATGATCCAAAATTTGGTCCAGCTGTGTCCAGCATGATAAAAACCTGACTTTTTTTTTTTAGGGGAACTGGAAGTGCTCTGTAGCAGTATGAGCTATTGACCTCACCCCTTTTTAAATTCAGCCCTTCCCTGTACACATGTAATGAGGGCTCTGAGTCTGACCTGCTGATCAGGTAAGGGAGTTCAGAAGGCATTTCTTCAGCCCTTTGGAAAATTGCCCTTAAATTTGCCAGTGATTTCCTGTGTGTATACATGTGCATGTCCTGACATGGCTCAAACACTGAAGTAATAAGGAAATATTGACTTCCCCCCAGATGTCTGCTTCACTGAGCAAGTGTTGGTCAATGGATTGATGCAGTATTAGCAAGCATCTGACTCCCTGCTAGGGGAGAACTGCCTGCACACCAGCAGGCATTTCATTGCAGAAATGTCTTTGGTAGTGACTTCCTACTGCAAAATAGCAGCCATTTCTCTGCAGAAATGTCTTTGGAATAAAGTAACGGAGCATATGTGATTACTGGATATCAAGAAGACTTCTGTTCAGTTATTTGAAAGACGTTTTTAAAAATACATCAGTTTTAGCACTCTAATTAATTCTGGTGGATTTCATGCATGCCCAGGTTAGGATGTATGGACTTTTAACCTATTAATGTATCTTTAAGTCAGAAATGCAACAAGCTAGTTGCAGCATTAACACAAAAACTATTCAAGGGATACAAGAGCTGATATTGCAATAGTAATGTTATCTCCACTGGGGTACACAAGTCAGTGTGGACCACATACAGCCAAAGGCATGACCAAAGCGTGAATATAAGCTCCAATTAAGGTCAAGGGACCATAGCTCCATCTGCTCTGAATCAGTGTAATTCCACCAAAAAAAAAAAAATATTGGCATACTGTCAATTCGTGCATGTTGACACTACAGGCTTGGCTCAGTTTAAATCTCCATTAAAATATGGATGTGTATGCTTTCAGAGAATGGCCCTGCAGCATACTTGGCACGTGGATAGCTATATAATACCCTGATACAGAAATACTTCTTGGACATGTGCTTAAATGCTGTTGCTAATGAAACTAATGGTACATTTACATCCACAGGAGGTAATCTCTGAGTCCCTACATTCACTTCTGAGCATGGATGATGGTTTAATTTGACTTAGGTTTTGGTACTGTTTTGAGGGACATGCATTTCAAAAGGTGGATTTTCACTGTGCATGCATATTCCTTGCTCTGAGATGGAATTTCATGGCCTTGTGTGACTCCTCCAGTGCATCTGTTAGTGGGTGCTGATGTACCACAGCCTCTCACATTTAACTGCTAATGAAATTGCTCAGGGTTTATGTGCAGACATGTTAGAGAGAGGTGCCTGACTTATTATGTGTCAGAAAAAAAAAAAGTCTTTAGAAACATTTCACTGTTAAAGTCACAAGTTAGAATTGTTTATCAGCAGCAGCAGACTGAACTAATAGCTTTTGTCATGAGAAATGTTAAGATTAATTAGGGGTGTAGGGGAGGAAAAGCTTTTATCTTTGGGAGTACTTGTGTGCATAGTGTGTTAAATATCTTTTCACATGGTATGGCATCCAGGTATGAGGAATACCTAAAGGACTTGCTGACATCACTGGTCTGCAGTCTGCAGGAATTAGCACAGTTGGAAGGGAACACAGACCTTGCTAAAACACAGCATGATCTAAACTTCTTCAGGTTGTTTTAAAAGCAGGGATCTGAAGACATGGAGCCAGTAAAGATTTCAGTGCACCTCCCGTGTTAGATCATCAGTTGTGGAGAAATCTCAACTGGGTCATTGCATTTCTCAAGCTTTTCAAAGTTCTTCCTACTTTTTCATGGGGAAAATCTTGTTTCAGTTGTGTATGAGATTTTTCAGGCTCATTTTTAGCCTGTCACATTATGTGCCAGTGTTTTCTTTTGCCATGGACAAGGTTATATAGCTGTGACACATATAAATTGTTTATTATGTGGGTACAATATGAGAGAAAAAGTGTACCTGAGAAGAAATAGATCTATTGTAATTGTGTGACTGCATCATTTATCTTTTGCTATTGACGCTACACTCTACCTACTGGGATTTATTTCAACATTTTCTGTTCAGCTTTCAGGACCAGACAGTCTTGTAATGCACATCATTAAAATTTGCCTTCTAGGAGTTATATGTGTGTGTGTGTGTATGCATATAGATAAATATACATGTGTGTGGATACATATATATATGTGTGTGTGTATGTATGTGTATGTATATGTCCTTTGTTTAAAAAAATCTCCTGAAGTACAGCTTTGCTGCTAGGCATGTGCTCCACAGAGTTTGCAAGGTGGCATAGCACAGGGCCTGTGGTTAGACCAACTTCAGCATTTGTCAGCAGTCACACAAATGAATGAGCTGTTCAGGAGATAACAGCCTGAATTCTTTCTCTTTGTATTTTCCTCTCTGCTGGCATGGGGCTCAAGCATGGCCATGCTGTGGCTCCAGCAGAAGTCTTACAGTGTGCTGTGGGATCCAGTCTGGCTTTCCTCAGTGAGGGACGAGGTCTGAGGGAAGCCTAGGAGAAGTGACTGGGGATGTTTTCATCTTCAGCTGAAATATTCCATGACTTTGCTGTGATGGATGGGCAGTCAGGAGGAACTCAACTCCTGCCAGTGCCCTGGAGAAAATCTTGCTGGACAGTCTTCTTTTTTCAAAGTGAGCATGCACTTTTTGGTGCTTTGTTGATGGGTAGAGTTTTTAAAAATCTGTTTAAGGCCTTATTGTTTTTTGTTTGTACTTGAACCTCTTACCAGTACAATAGATGGGTCTGTGGACAAAAGCCAAATGTATTTTCAATCTATTTACTAAAATGTGAACGAGGAAGGAAGATTAGTGGTGCTTGAACAGTGATTATTCTACACTCAGAAAGATAAATCTGTGATGTCGAACTGGTGCTGACACTTCCTTCTAACAAAACATATTGCTAGATCAAGCAATTGTCACATCAAGAGGAACTCTATTAATACTTTGTGTCCTAGTAGATGAAGGGGTTTTTTCCCCTTTCCAGAACAGAAAGTTGTCAAGGCTCAATCTATATTGTGTTGAGTCCTACATAGATGAATTTGCCTGTGGAAGACAATGAAATGCTTTGCTTTGAGGCCTCTCTTCTCTTTCTGCCTTACTCCCCCCACCCTGGCATCCTTCAGAAACTGGTACAACTTCTGACACAACCCCTAGTGGAAATTCTGTGGTTAAACAGGTGTGGATTCATTTGGGAACACAGCAGGTTCCAAAGTCATGCTGTCTTTAGACCAAAAATGTTCTTGCTGGATGCAGGTTCATATTATCTTAGTGAATAAGAGGAATAATTAATGGGTTCAAAAATCTGAGATGCTAAGTGAAACTGCCCTAAACCAGGATAAAAACATTCATGCACACATCATGACATAAAGGGAAGTTTGGTATGGTTCTGGGGGGAAAAAAACCAACAACCCATCAACACAGTTTCATCTTGTAGCAGAACATTTATGAAAAATTCTGCTGTTATTATTTTTTTCCATGGGATGATACTGTAGTTGCTTTTTTCCTTGCCTGAAAAAAGCCAAAAGAATGTCTTTGTTACAAATCCTGTCCATTACTGCCAGCCTCTAAACTTTAGTTCATAGAGTAACTATGATTCTTTCCATAAACAGAGAAAAGTTCTCCAAGTTTATTTTGTTGTGAAACAGTTGAAAGAGAAGCTGGGCCCTGTGGTGGGCCTTGACACTTACCACAAGCCACATCCAACTGTGCTCAGTGCATCCTCTGGACAAGTACACGCAGGTGTTCCAACTATACATGCCCAGGACTAGTTTTCAGGTGTAAATATCAAAAGCAAAGGGAATAAACAGAGTGAATTTTAAATATGAATTGGTATTGACACTACATGTTTTTAGAGACAAAGGCATATTCAGCAAAGTTAATGAGAATAAAGTGATTCTGCCAGATTATTTAAGTGCAAATTGGATTTACTCAAAGGCTATGTAGAGGATGACTGTGGTTTTGTATTTATCTATGTTTGTTTTATTGAAATTTTGTCATTGATACAACAGATGCTCCTAATTTTGATGCTATGTCAGGACAGAATAGCCAGCAGAGGGAGCAAAGGCTTTTTAACTTTAAGCTGTTGGCAAGAATTATGTGACCTTATAGGGGGATCAAGAAGGAAGAAAACTTTCTCTTCACTACTTTCTCTCCCTCAGGAAGAGAGGAAGAGGTGAGAGAGAAAGGAAAGAAAAAGTGTTGTGTGTTGCTTTCAAACTTGAATTTAAAGCAGACCTTGTTAAAAAAATTGGAAATTCAGCCCCATAAATAAAATGCTACTTTACTGTGAGGGAGGGAAAAAAACAAAACCAAAAACAACCAACCAAAACCTACAAAAATAATAAGAATCAATTACTATTTTTTTTTTTTCTATTTGGCCATGTTTTTAATGCCCAAACCATTTTTATCTAGTGGCTGGGATAATTATAAATGTATCCTGTGGTTTTGGCCACTTACACAAAGTTCTGTCACAGAGGCCTCTGTAATGAGAATTTGCTGTTAATTGCTATCTAAAAGGGCCAACCATTGTAATTTCAGCACAGTCTTATTCATAGATCAGCATCAGTTACCGTAGCCAATCCCAAACACTTTGGGAAAAACATCAAATTAAAACATGAAGGAGAAAATACTGGGCTTTTTGATGCCAATTCTCCCCTGCTTTTTAAATTTTTTTAACTCTTCCACCTGTAGTCCTTTGGGTCTGCATGTAGATGATTAAGGTCCTGTATATTAAGATGACAACAATTTCAGATCTGTCTAGTCACTGCCTTAAGCCTGCCTTATCATCTCTGGAACAGCTGTGGATTTTTGTGCTGAGACTGGACCAAACACATTGGGGAGTGCCTTTGGTAATACTTTCAAAGGGCTAGGCACACTCATTCCCAGCCCAGAGAGCTGGAGAGGAGGGAAGGGTTAGCAGAAACATCTCCGAGAAGGAGAGGGCCTGCTGACGTGAATGGGGATTTAATGAGCTGACCACCTGCTCTTGAAATCCTCATCTGTAAGATATTTGAGCCTATGAATTCAGACATGATACCTACAGGCTTCTCAGCTAATCTTGTTGTCTGACAGCACAGTAAAAAGAATGCGACCTCGGGAAT